TTTATATGTACCTAGCGCCCTCCATTTTAGATGAAATGGAAAGTACGCTAATACTAATCTATTATGAGACACTTTGGAAACCGAGCTTCTCTTCAGATTTTTCATACGGCTTAAAATCAGGCCTCAATGCACCATATGTCGTCGAATTAATCTAATCTAATACTAAAAAGTTTTACTTTTTAAACCTGGGCTTATGAATGTAAACTTTTTTAGATGAATTAGTAATGGTTACTAGCATATTGTTCACCCATTCTTTATTACCTCGTTATAATCGCTGGTTCACAAAGCGGCTCCTTTTCCTTTCAACTAAAATATCCCATCTTTCTTGTTCTTGTTCTTGGTAAATTGTCGTAGTGAATGGTGTCCTGCTACGATCATGTCCATCTCATGATGGACAAAAGCTAAGCAAGGATTCTTTGGGAATCACGAGGTGAGCTAATGACTTATTCTCACATATCTACAATCACAAGCCCATTTTGACTTCCTATGAGACAAATTTACGAATCTCCTCCATTCGCCTCTTCAAATGAAGTGGAAGGGGCCCGAACCTCAATCTATCAATGGATCCTTCGGAAATCAGTTTCTTAGGTATTAGCGAAAAAAATACGCTTATCCATTTTTATTCATATAGAATCAACTCAGCAGCATTTTAATGACCTTTAAAATTATATTAAAAAGTTGATTTTGCACAGAAACTTTATGTTTCTTTAGCTATTTCTGGTTTTAAAATAAGATTTGCAATATATTAAAACTAGTTTATATAAAAAAAGGTTATGTACTTATTCAAAAATATCTTTGAATGAATATCAATTAAGACGCAGTTTACAAATGGCATCCTCTCCTGGCGATGTTAGATTGATCATCGTACCGTTCAACAGGAGGTCCCCCTTAAAAAGACAATGGAAATCCATAGTTGAAGTATTTTGCACCTTTTTATCTTGAAAATTTTTGTTTTTATGTGATTTGTGCACAGTTCTCGATGTATTAAAAATTCTTTATTCACAGATACTTACCAAACAACTTAAGCTAATGGTCTGCATTAATACCCGTGTCAAAAGTTGGAAAATTATGACCAAGTGATCTCCAGAGGCAAAGGATGAGTATCTCCAGAAGGGCTTTGATTTTGTCTCGGCTTATCTTAGCGTTTTTGCTTTCGAAGATGCCCTGGCTATCGTCAGAATAGACGGTATTTACGTTAAAAGCTTCCATATATCAAACGTTAAGCAGACCCTGCGTGTAAGTTAACTTGCTTTTCAAAAAGGAATTTCATTGATAAAGTGTTTTTAACTTCAAAATGAACACTACATTGTATGGCCCATATCGTAATTATTGCCTTTCTTAAGTTATTACTTGATTATTCTTTTACTTTTTCATTATGCAGAAAATTTATTTTTATATTTTGAGTCATGTCATTGCTAAACAGCTAATATAGCTTACTTCCCTATTAACTCTGTAAACAGCTTTTGTAAATGGTTGCTTAATTATTCAATTGTTAAATCTAGACTCAGACTCTCCTCGAAATTTTATTCTTGGAAATAAAACCTTCATTTGAACTAGTATCATTTCTTTTGTATGGCGTATTTACTTTATTAATGTATTATTATCCAACCCTATTTTGTATATTCTTTATTCTTATCTTGGCTTGAGATTTCCCTCTAAATTTTGAGCTTGGCCGATGTCTATCCTTTGTTATCCGTATAAGGATCGGCTTTTGCCTATTTTTATTTTCCCACTGCTTTTAATATGATTTTATATTATTTTATTAGGCGACCATTTGGCTAGACCTGTCGGCCGTATTTGTGGAGCAAATGGTCGCATCCGGATGTGCATTGAAAACGCCACTCGTACACGAATTGTAGTGGTCGATCAGACAATTCATCTACTTGGCAGTAACGAACGGATAGCGGTGGCCCGTCGAGCGATATGCGATTTG